CCCCCCACATCTGCACAGGGAGCTCCCCAAACTAGTCCCTGGGGGACTAGAGCAGATCCCCTCAGAAACCCACCTGGCTGGATTGAAACATGGCCAGGGATGGAGAAGCCCCCGCGCCCCTCGGTCAATCCCTGCCCCTAAAACCCTGCACCTTGGTTCCACCCTGAACTCGTCCCACTTCGACCTCTCTTCCAGCTCCCCCGCCGACCCCCCTGCTCTTGCTGGACCCCCCGCATGCCGTGTATCTCCCAGGGGAACGGCTCAACCTCAGCTGCTCGGCTCCCGGGGCCCAGGAAGTGACAGGCTACAGATTCTACAAGCGACGGCCGGAGCAGAGCTCCGAGGAGCTGCCATCGCCCCGGGGGGGACCCCGGCTGGAGATCCTGGCTGCAGTGGGGGACGAAGGACTGTACACCTGCCAGTACTGGAGCAGGGGGTCCGGACGAGAGCTCCCCTCGGGGCTCAGCCAGCCCATCGCCATACGTGTGACGGGTGAGGCTCTCCCGCTGGGTGCCGTCGGGGAGAGCGGGTAGTACCCAGGGGCTGCATGGGTTGCCCCTCGTGAGCTCTCCATCCGCCCTTCCAGCAGGCTGCGGCTCATCCCCAAAAATCAGTGGTGGGGCTGTAGCACCAGAGACACCCCCCACCGAACCACAGCCCTTTCTTCTCCTTCTACCCCATCTCTCGCGAGCCCCCGCTGTGGTTGGGTGTGTCTCAGCCCTTTCAGTTCTGGTAACCCCAGTCTGTGGTTCTCAGGAGGTTTTTTCAGTGACTCAGCTCTCTGGCCGAGTCACGCACACGGTCTGCACCAGAACAGATCCCTTCTGGGGTACACCGTCCACCAGGGCCTGTCTCAGGACCCCCTGGTGGTGTCTCTCTAGCCCTCTCTGGGCTCAGTCTTTAAGTAGACCCAGCCCTGCTATGGGGCTGTATCCCCAGGGCTTCCTCCCTGGAGACACTGTCTTCCTGCAGCCCTTCCCGGCTCATTCCCCACTCAGTCCGCAGGCAGCCAGGAGCTCCTTTCCCTCCCTCCCTCTGTCACTTGCTCTCCCCCACCCTCACTCACTTTCACCAGGCTGGGGTGGGGGTTGGGGTCCGGGGGGGGGTGAAGACTGCAGCTGGGGGTGTGGGCTCTGGGGTGGGGCCAGGCATGAGGGGTTTGGGGTGCAGGAGGGGGATCAGGGCTGGGGTTTGGGGTGAGGTACAGGGTTTGGGATCCTGGCAAGGCTTATCACAGCTCCCAGTTAGTGGCCACCAGGTCCCTGCAGCCCCTAGGCATATGGGCGGCCAGGGAGGCTCCACGCGCTGCCGCACACCCACAGGCACCACCCCCACAGCTCCCATTGGTTGTAGTTCCCGGCCAATGGGAGCTGCAGAGCCGGCATTTGGGGCAGTGGCAGCGTGTGGATCCTCCCTGGCTGCCCATGCGCCTGGGGCCACAAGGACCTGGCAGCCGCTTCCAGGAGCCGCGCAGAACCAGGGCAGGTGGGGAGCCTGCCTTAGCCCCGGGCCTCCACTGCGCCACCAACCGGACTTTTAACAGCCCGGTCGGCAGTGCCGGGGTCCCTTTTCAACCGGGCTTTCCGGCCAAAAACCAGACACCTGGTAACCCTGGCTCCTTCATTGCTCCCCCGGTCCCTGCCAGCAAACTCCTCGGTCCTGCTGCTCTTCCACCCAGGCAGCAGCCCTCTCTTCTCCCACTCCCAGCAGCAACTGCCTGCTGCTCTGTCCTGCAGCTCCTTTTATACGGCCCCCTGGCCTGCTTGGCCGTCCCTGGAGCCCCTCTGATTGGTTCCTTCCTCGCAACCACTCTAGGCCCCTTGGAGGACCTCTCCACTGCTCCTTTCCCGGGATGAGTGTGGCGGAGCCCTGAGACCTCAGCAGGGGACCTTTGGGCTTAGTCCACACCCCCCCGCCCCCCGGCCTCCTCCTATGTGGGAACAAAACTCTGGACGCGCATCAGAAGTGGGGAGTGATAGAAACAGGGGAAATTTCACCCCCAAACCCCAGGTTCTGCCTGTGGGGACTAACCCCAAGAATTGCTGCTCTGAGCCGGGGCCCATGTGCTGGGAATGAGGGAGGAGGAGAGAGACCTGGGGGTGTCGGTCGATGCAGGAGGAAGCGGGGCCGCGGCCAGGAGAAAGGCCGACGTCACCCTGGGCTGGCGCAGGTCTCCTGTGGAGAGGGCGGGTTTAATGCCCGTGGAGAAGGCACCGGGCAGAGCTCAGCTGGAAGCCGGGCGCGATCCTGGGCAGCCCCGTCCCCGGAGGAGGAACCCCAGCTGGAGCAGGACCGATGGGACGCCCGGGGGAAGGGGATCCGGTCCCAACAAGGGATCCTGGTCCAGTCTGAATGCAGGCCTGGCCCTGCTGCCATAGCCCCGATCCCCAGGCCAGCTGCAGTCTCCCCCTCCCACCCCTCAGACCACCCTGGCCGTGACATCGCAGCTCCCCCAGAGAGCCATGAGACCTCCACACCTCCCCCTCTGACCCCAGCACTCCCCAGCCTCTCCCGGCTGCCCCGTGACGGACCCGGAGCCAGAGAGCAGGAGGCGCTGGTATAATGTGGTGCCCAAGGGTGGGGGCCGGGCAGTGGGGCTCGACCCTGGGCTCTGAATCCACCGGCTCCCACAGCCTGACCCATGGCAGGTGGTGATCATAGGGGCACACCCAGCTCTGCGTGTGGCCTGGCATGGCTGGGGGGACGAGGGCTGCCTGGTGGTGGGGGGTCTCTCACTGGCGATCTAACCGGGTGCTGCCCCATGGCACCAGCTCTGGTGCTGGCCCCCCCGGGGATCTGGGCTGCAGGGGGTAAATGGGGGGGTTGGGGGCACAGACTCACTGGGGGGCAGGTCCCCATCTCCGGGCTCACTGGTGAATGAGCTGGGGGGTCTCATCTGAGCTGTCTCTTTCCCTCTCCCCCGCCCCATTCTCTCCATCTACTCCAGAGCCGCCCCCTGCCCCTCGGCTCACTCTGGCTCCCCCGCACCCCGTGTACGTCCCAGGGGAGCGGGTGACCCTCAGGTGCTCGGCTCCCCGGGGCGACGGGGTGGTCAGGTACAGATTCTACAGGCAACGAAGGGGGCTGATCGCTGACAGGGTCCCTGAGCCGACTGGGGGTGTCCGGCTGGAGCTCAGGGCTGAGACGGGGACGGCCGGGCTGTATGTCTGTGTGTACTGGACACTGCGCGCCGGGCGAGAGGTGCCATCCGGGGAGAGCCGGCCTGTCTTCATGTCTGTGACAGATGAATTCAGTCTGGTCTGACACCACATCCTATGCCCCTGCACCCCGTCCCTCTGCACTCCATCCCCCTATCCCCCACACCCCAACTCCTGTCACCCTGCACCCCATGGCCCCTGCACACCTGTGTCCCTGCACCCTGTCCCCTGGCTCCACTGCACATCGTCCCCCTGTGCCCCATATCCCATACCCCTGCACCCTGTCCCCCATCTGCCCTGCACCCCATCCCCCTGCGCCCCCACACCCCAACTCCAGTCACCCCAGCACCCCATTCCCCAGCATCCCTGAACCTGTCACCCTGTGCCCCCTGCATCCCTGTACCCCATCCCCCTGCACCCCTACACCCTGCACCACATCCCCCTGTGCCCCCACACCCCAACTCCAGTCACCGCTGCACCCCATGGCGCCTGCACACCTGTGTCCCTGCACCCTGTCCCCTGGCTCTGCTGCACGTCGTCCCCCTGTGCCCCATATCCCATACCCCTGCACCCCCACACCCAAAGT